AGCAGTGGTATCAACGCAGAGTACTAACTTTGCCCGCCCTCCTCGCGTATCTCTCAGAAACCTTGCTTGCTTGCTTTTCTAAGTCAAAGTGACTAGGAACTGAGCTGTCGAATGGTGCATGAATCGGGCTCCAGTCTATAAAATTCGCCGAGTTACAAGCCTACGAAGACACGTCCTCATGAAATTTGCACAAAATGTAAAGATCGCGTACTTTGTTGAAATTCACCTTGATTGGTTGCATGACTAATTGCAAATGTTACGTTCACCCCCGCCCGCATTTTACACAACCACAATCAAGGTGAATTTCAACAAAGTACGCGATCTTTACATTTTGTGCAAATTTCATGAGGACGTGTCTTCGTAGGCTTGTAACTCGGCGAATTTTATAGACTGGAGCCCGATTCATGCACCATTCGACAGCTCAGTTCCTAGTCACTTTGACTTAGAAAAGCAAGCAAGCAAGGTTTCTGAGAGATACGCGAGGAGGGCGGGCAAAGTTACGCACTTTCGTGGTGCAGTTACAGTTACCTCACCGTATCTCTCCAAACGGACACTGTAATCCTCAGAGACCACTATTTTCGTAAACAGCGTGTTCGAAAACCTCTATAAGCGAAGTTTCTCTACAGTTTCTCTGCTTTACATCTTCGAGAAGAAACGTCCGCAGAAAGATTTAAGAATACTGAAATTAAGATACCAAGGACATGCTGTATACCAAAGATTCGCCTTGATGAGCTGAGCACAGCACCGTTTTTGGATTCAGAATATACTTATTCTGGAGGAAGTTATGGCGAGTAGAATATAAAGGCGCGTGATTTTTGCAGAATTCACCATCTCCTTTCGCGCTTTATAAAGCATGTCTCCGTCTACTTTTCACCGATTGATTATCTACGGAAACAACTCTTTCCGCAGTGGTATCAACGCAGAGTACTGGCTGGCCCACAGCGTTGCAAAGAGGCGTCTGCAGAAAAAAGTGAGGTTTTGCTGGAAGCAGAATATCATAGTCATGCGGTGTGTCACTTTGCTCACATAAGCAACAAGACATGCTGATTACAAAGATTATAATTGTTTTGCTAATCATAGTGTTACTGTATGGTTATGTTTGTTTGACGGTAAGTGGTTCATGTATATTTACTAAGTTCACGTACTCCTTTCCCTTTTTTCCACTACAAAAAAGGATCTGGTTTTCTGCTGGAAACACTCAACAGAAACTCTTCCATCAAACGCTTTTTTTCTTAAACCTTTGCCTACATTATGCGCCGAAATACACACTCTAGAAAACACCACCACAGGATGCAACGGGTTCCTACCATGCACTTACCGTGACCGAGCCGATTACAGCAGTTCAATATATGAAAAGATTCGTCTCGGCGAGCTGAATCCAAATCTGCCTTGAAGTTTGAAATCCATTGAGAACGTAGGGAGTTATGACGAAAAGACGCAAAGTCGGCGACATCGGCGACATCGGCGAATTCGGCGACATCGGCGAATTTGGCGAATTCGGCGAATTCGGCGAATTCGCCGAAAATTTTCACATTCCACTGTCACGACTGTATGGTCAGAATTATAACATTTGAGGACCCCGGATGAATTTTTGGTTTTAAGGTGAAGGTTGTGTTCTATAACGGCACTCAAAGTGAAGGTTACCAGGGTGCATGGCTCTATGTATCAAGGGTATGAGTAGTTTACGCCATTTAGAAACAGAAAATCACGTAGTGAAAACAGCATGCATGCAAATCGTAATGCACAATTTTCCGGAATTTTTTGAAGTTTTTTTTGAACTGCCCAACTCAAAGTGGCACCATATGCTGTGAGTTCCTACCGTCATCCTACGTGATCGAGACAGAACGTCACATCACTTCATATTGTAAATCTGAATTGAAGCCAATTCTACAAAACGGTACCTATAATCTCCCGAAAGATCTCACAAGAGAGTCAGCAGTTGAAGAGCAGGCACATTTTTTGGGCACCCTGATAACTACTCAGAAAACAAAACTACTCAAGCAAAAAAATACCAGAAAACGTTACTCGGAAACTAGCTATGGCAATTGTTGACGCACAAGCGTTGTAGCGTCCGCAGGGACACTATGTTATGCATGAAATCTACTTACTGTAGGTGTGTAGCTTCGTCAGTTATCGCAAACTCATTAGGTCTGACCGCAAGCGCGCTCACGACCAATTATGAACAGTTGTTGCAATGCCCAATCGGGCAGCGACTGGAGTCGCGTAAAACGTAACCTAACGTAAAAAAGTGAGAAACACTTTCCCATGAACCTCCTCTTCAGCAACCTTTCGTTTCCAGCCATTTAACTGTAAATGTTTTGGTCCCACTGAACAACAAATGAAAAGGCACATTTCTAAAACAACGGCATTTGTTGTATGGGATATATGCTTATGTCTCCTGATAAAAAAAAAATATTCAGAACAATGCCGTTCTCATTGGGTCTGCCACTAATGGATGACAACGTCAAGAAGAACAACCTTCCACTATTTTTTGGTTAGAAATAGACCAAAGTCATAGTGTAGAAAGAGTGATGAATCTAATCTTCCTTCAGCTTCCATGTTCTTCGTGAGAATTCTTGGGCCAGTTATTGGTTTATTAGTCGGAAGCAAGCTGAACGAGATTTACTATACGTTTGATCGTCAGTCATTATGACAAAACTTACTTTGAGCATCCCGATTACAAGCCCTTTTTAGCTCCACAAGGGCTCACTCCTTTGGATCCTATGTGGATCGGCTGCTGGTGGCTAGGATTTCTCATCTTTGGGTGAGCTACAGAGCATCAAATGCTTCTACATATCAAACTCTTTTAGCGCACTTCTGTTTTTTCCTTCTCTTGCATTGCTTCTTTTCCCTTCGGATAAACTTGATGAGGAGGAGATCACAAAAGCCATAACTCGCGAAAAAAGCAATCGCAGTAATAATGAATCGTGGGTACTCCTCAAGATACACTTCGAATGTACCAGTTGCGTTTGCTCAGTATTGCGAAGCCAAGAAAGAGACTGAATCTACGCGACAAGCACTTGAAAGTGCACGAAGACATCACTGCCAAAGAAAGAATCACAGGTAATGCAATTTATATACAACCAAACCTGCTTTTTACTTTTACTTACTATCAGAATTCCTCGGACTTATTCGAAACCTTTTTCAAAATCCCATCTACGTAGGCGCCGTGTTGGGAAGGGTCGTCGAAGTATTGGCATTGAAAGGGTAGGTCAAACCTTTTCTAATGCTTATAAGGGTGCTTCATTTATAGGTTCTTTGTTTTCCTTGGAAAGTACCTTGAAATTCAATTTGGTGTACCACAATACAGGATACAAAAATTCAGAGGTTGGTCACTTCATCTCTGCTAAGTATGTTTAGATAAAGCTGGTCAGTTGTATTAGGTTGTCCCATAGGTCTTTTCATATCTGACTTTTCAACAGCGTAAGTCTGTTCCCCTTAGATTTCTTATGGGATGCGGGGCATCATTTGAAAGTCAAGGCAAGCGCTACAACATGGCTATGTGGCTTTCAGAAGTTCGTACCAGGCTTGATCCGCATCGAATTTCAGGACAAAATGGAAAAAATGAAAAATCCCGAAAAAACGAAAATAATCGTATCTTATTCAAAAACATTCTGCAAAGTTCCCACTTGCTTACGCATATAATGCTTACGCATATAATCTCCCCAGATATTTGTATTAGGTTGTCCCGAAAGTTTTGTCCGTTTTTCAACCTATCATAAAAACGCGTGGAATGAAGAAAGGGAAACGCTCTAAGCACGATTCGACGCATCTTTTCCTTCTCTTTCTAATTGTTATGCTTCTATGCCGATTAATCTTTTGTTTACTGAGATAAACGCCGAAATTTCGAACCCATGGTTTTTACTATGTCCAACTTTGGCAATTTTTCACAATCTTTATTTTTGACTTTCGGAAAAGCTTTGGCAACAGTTAGCGCAAATAAAGGGCAATATAATGCAATTTTGCGGCAACTATAGCCAGCCTCAAAAATTTTTTAGAATTATTTTTCTAATGCTATCAAATTCCACTTTTGGTGATGCCAAAAGCGAGAGATCATGAAACGGCGCACAACTAAGGTGTTATTCGATGCAGCTTTTCCTCCCCTTTCCAGTGAGTGTATTTTCTCTCCAATTTGCGGGGCCTTTGGCGATAAAACTTTCATAATTCTTGAATTTGACCCCACCCCAGCGTGTACACGTAAAATGCAAAATCTTATATTTCGAAGCGGTAAACGCCCATTTGCTTCGTAAAAATAGTGAATAATCGTAATCGGTTTTTGAAAGCTTCAAAATCCGATGATTTGTTAGTGTTCGAGGCGTTTTATTTTAGAACTTCGCAAAAGTGAAGACTTTCGAAAAAATTATCTTACTGAGGGCTATCAAAGGTCTTCCAAAAGTTGAAAATGAAGATTGTGAAAAATTATCAAACTTGGACATAGTAAAAACCATAGGTTCGAAATTTCGGCGTTTATCTCAGTGAGCAAAAGAGTAATCGGCATGCGGGCTTGACAGTCAGAAAGAGAAGGAAAGAATGCGTCGGATAGTGCTTAGAGCATTTCCCTATCTTTGTTTCACGTATTTTTATGATAGTTTGAAAAAACGGACAAAACTTTCGGGACAACCTAATATATACACTTGCTGCATTTTTCTGAGCTAAAATCGAGAAAGAAATAATGCGCTCAATTTTCACACTTTGCCTGTAATGGGTCTATGCTCCTCGCAAGTATGTGAGTATATAGCTTATTCACTCAAGAATACTCCCACAAATTTGCGTTCTTGTGGATGCCTCAGTTATGGAGAAATATCAGTTTGAAGCTGCAATATGAGATGACTTATGGACAACCTAACATTGTCTAGACAAAGCTGGTCAGTCGTATACGTTTCAAAAAAAGCACCTTTTAGTATTCAAGGGGTGAATCGGAATTTGGGCCTATGTGCATCTCACTTTAAAATAAAAAGGATGTCTCAGAAATATGCACACTTTTTGGTCGTCTTCATTACTGTTGAATTACGATAGGAACCTAGAGCATACAGGTTCCATTCTAAGTAAGATCATTTTCATCATCATTTTCAACACTGAAAAGGTTTACCCGGCATACCTTGACACAATCACAACCAGGCCTATTCCGACTGCCATTCCTGCACATACGACCATTGCGGATCGCGTGGTCACAAATGGTAGTAAAAATAGATTAAGTTTAAACTCGGCCTGGATGGATCATCAAAGGCGCTGGCCGCGAAAATGACATTTTTTGCTTACAGTTATAATGTAGGATTATGCAATCATGCGGTATAGTGTCCTTTTCTCAGATTTTTGAGAAAAATCGTATTTTAGGGATATCTAGCGTGTTAGCTATGAAATTGACACTCATTCCACTTGCTAATTGTTTACCTGAGTTCACGGTAGCCGTAGTGTAAAGGTTACAACTGCGGATTTTGAAAAAATCCTGTTTTAAAATTTTAAAAAAATTAATTTTGCTTTAAAAATGACACTCAATTCAGCCGACATAACTACTATATTAAAATCTATCCGTAAAATGTCTGTCTCTTAGCGTATCTTCGCCATTTTGTATGGAGATTCCTCTAGAAATTCAAGCGATTAGGGCGCTGTTCGTAAAATGTTGCGCAATTTAACACATTTTATTCAATGAAACAAAACTAACATTGCAATCATTTCATAGAAAGTTTGAGCTTCAATGGCATGTAGCGAATAAACAGACAATCAATTGCAGTTCTGAAAACGCAGAATTAAATGAGCCAAAATTGATAGACGTTCAGGCGAAACTTGACACTTACACACGTTGACACAATCTATGCAAATGCTTGAAGCGGCGATTACAACTCGCACTGGCCCTCCGTGCATTTTTATCAGCGAAATGTGATCCCTCTTTTTGCTAAACTCTTCGTAGCATCATACATGTTTTTCTTGTAACACATTTTGGATCAGAAAGTTAGTTTAGCTGTCTTGAGCTAAAGATTTCCCAAAATCTAGCAGAGATTTAATCACTTTGGGCTCAAACATAAAGACAACTTTCTCCATGTGGTCGCTGCACAGTCTCCAAGAATTAACTAGTGCTGAAGCGCTCCGCGTGAGAATATGGACAATAGATAAACGTACCATTTCCTAGTTTTCCGCACAAAAGTTGTAAGAAGCCATGCTTGCTTGTAACAAATATTCTTGACTTATTGTAATTTACAAGTTTCAAGACACACAGCGCAGACACATGGCACATGCACTCTTGCAGTCTATTCGAATTGCATACGATGTGGTCTCATTTTGACCACGCTGAGTCATGAATTCTATTACGCTTCACAAACTGCTGGAATTTTGAAGGCTTGATGTCTTCAATTTTCAGCAATTTGCAAGTGGAATTTATGAATGCAAGACCGCGTGGCGGACAGTATAATGGATGGACAGGAAGATCGTTGTGCCTCAGAATAAATGAACATAGGGAATGCAAAATTGCGAATGTATATTACGACTTCAGGCATGAGTTGCAAGCTGTGCCACCAGGATGTCGAATTTGAAGTCAACATTGCTAATCTGTATGAGAAAACAGTAGAGGATATTAGGTCGCCTTTAGGCTCTACCCACTAGGACAGATAGCATGAGGCAGTAGTGGTGAAAGTGCGCGGTTTGTTGCAAATGCCCGCATGGAACCGCCTCTTTCGGCAACCTAATATCCTCTACCCAGAAATCATCATTGCGGCATGAAAAGCATACAGCTTGCTGGATTGCACTTGGATGTGCTAATCTGAACAGGAAGAAAGAAAATGGCTGTCAACAATGAACTCGCTCATTCCTACAAATGTGTGCGAGTCTGAGCTTAAAAGAGCTCTCATCACACGAGAAGGAAGCGGTCTGATACATAGTAAAAGTGGTGGACGGACACTAAATTTTGTCATCGAATGCATGTGTACCCTTAGAACCCTGTATAGTTGATATACATCTTGTATATAAAGTTGAATGTCTGTCAGTATGTATGTATCCATGTATGTATGTCTGTATGTTCCGAATAGAAAATTCCATTTCCCAACCGGTCCGGACCAAACTTCGCACACATACACTTCGGGACGAGGCGGGTGTCGTAGGCTACTTTCGTCATCGATCGATATTGAATTGACCGATTTTATCAAATTTTTGTAAAGTTTGACCCACGGGGCTGGGAGTTAGCACAGGAAGAGGGGGTAATCATGCGTGCTGATTACGAATACAATATTAGTTTTTGAAGTTATCCGCTACTTATCGATTTATCGTTTTTTGCAAAGTTCGAGCAACGGGGCTGAGATTTGGTATAGAAACGTAATCAAACATGCTGATTTCTAAAACAACGGGAATAGGGAATTGGCGTGTAGGACTTGGGCCCAGGGAAAAGTTGTACAGGGATATGGATGGTCAATAAAATAGTCAATTATTGTGCTTTATCATAGTGTTTTGACAAGGCCGGGCGGAGTCGAGTAAGCCAGCTAGTATACTATATCATTCTTTTGCACTCGTCGCCCTGCGTATATCTCGATTATACTCGTCTTATCTATCGTCTATATCTCGTCTCTTATCTATCGTCTATATCTATCTATATCTCGTCTCGTCATTATACTTGGATTCAATGAGTCAATTTGGACGCGTCCCGATTATGGGCAACTATGACATACCTTAAGAATTGCATTTCAGCCGCAGTCGGTGTCGTGAGCTTTGCTATTGGTGTGATCATAGGCAGTGTATGCATGAGGAAATTTCGCCTTCAGGGTCAGTTCTTCAACATCATACATTATAGTATAATGAACAGTACATGCAAACGTCGATTAATTGATGTCGCCACTAGCCGACACAAAACTTCATGTCTCATTAAAAGGGATAAATACGTAATACCTTAACCACATTTGTTAAAGGTAGAAAGGCAGCTGTATGGGTTGCTTTCTGTTCATTCGTATCCGCCTTGATTCCGTTACTGAATGCCTTCATAGGATGCAAGTCTGTGATTGGAGAAATCGGAAAACAAGGAATGTGGGTTTGACGGAAGGTTATTTTTTTAGTATCAATGGGTAGGGGAAAGAAAGCCGCCAGCCTCGGTCGCCTGCGCGGACTGCTGGTCCTGGGACGATATGCAACAACATTGCGAAAGGACCAGTTAGCCGCGATAGGCGGCTCAAACTGGCGGCTTTCGTTCGCCTACCCCAATTAGTGTCGTAACTCTGATCAGAGCAAGCAACTTTTCCTTCCCACCATGCCGACCGGACTGTCTGTGCGACGGGATGCCATTCTATCCAGTTTGCAATGACAAGTAAGCAATTTATACTGTTTTGCTCCTTAGCTAAGATGCAATCGAGAGCAAAATTCATCAACTGATGACTCACCAGACTTCTAAGGGACCCGTCATACTTCGCCGAAAAAAGCCCAAAGAAGCCCGAAAAAGCCCGAAAAAGCCCAAAAAAGCCCAAAAGCGCCAGAACGCTCACTTCACGAGCTCGACATTTGGCGCTGGAGCATTAGTTCCGGACAGATGTTGGATGCCAGAACAACTAAGTTCATTCACATTTATCATGACAAGTATTCCGAACCCGCTCAATGTCGCTTGTCCAACGCGTCTTCAAAGCTATTTGCATGCAAACTTTCTTCTTTCATTCTTTTCCTCAATCTTTCTACCGCTAGTAGGATACGTGTACAAGTTATCTACTTATGCATCTAGTCGTTGCTCGCACCCAAAAACCTTGCGACCTAGCGGTTAGCTGAGATAACTTGATTGATAAAACTATGGTTGTTGTCATCATCATGTTTCTTGATCCACGTTTTCACGAGAGAAGGAGTTTTTATTAGGCTATCATCGGTGGCTGGAGTGTTGATATCATTGATCTGACGAGAAAAAAGAATGAGCGCGATTACGACTAAAACAACTTGTGTGACGCCTAGCAAAATCGTAATTTCTGATTTTGCTCACAACAATCTATTTTCGTTTATTTTTGTTGCTCCTCTCTATGCTCCTCTCTCCTCTCCTCTCTAGCTTTGAAGACGAGTTGGACAAGCGACATTGAGTGTGATCGGAATACTTGTCATGATGAATGTGAATGAACGTAGTTGTTCTGGCATCCAACATCTGTCCGAAACTAATGCTCCAGCGCCAAAAGCCGCGCTCGTGATGTGGGCGTTCTGGCCCTTTTGGGCTTTTTTGGGCTTTTTCGGGCTTTTTTGGGCTTTTTTCGGCGAAGTATGACGGGTCCCTAACGCATCGTCTGATGGTTAGCAGCCCCCGTTTTGTCGCGGCTAGTCTTGCCTGATTTCTTGTCCAACGTAGTTAACACATTGATGACAACGTGACCCTCTGGCGGGTCATGCAATGACTGCCACGTAGGACAATGTGGCCCACATGGTGGGTCATGGCTTGGTATTCCTCAAAATGAATACTATTTTGATATACCTTTGTTTCAAAAGTTTCCTTAAGCTCTGATTCTAGTATCTATAGATCTACAGTATATAGATCTACTTCTGCATTTCTCTTCTGCTTCTTAGAATTACCGCAGATTCATCGTAGATGACGTTCCGCGTGATTTTAGGAGAAAACGTGGAAGGCATTGTCCCACAAAGCAGACCACTGAAAACGCGCATTGTCGTCAATGTGTTAAATTGCCAAGTCACAAGTGCAAGCGAACGTTCTATCTTATATCAGCGTCCAACTTTACAATATTTTGAAACTTTGTGACATTAAATGTACAACTGCAGCTCTGAGTTCCTTATAACACAATTCTAGTGTTTTCTTATCGGGTGAGTAACTTCATGAACAATAGCATGTGCCAGCCGAAAGTCTGGCCCGTACGCGGTGCGCTGAAGGCTCCGTCTTCTGGTTAGTTAATTCAATTTTAGGGCAGGGTCAAGCGTTTGATGCGACTCTTGCAACGTGGGGTCGTGAAGGGGGTAGCGGCGGTGGGGGGGGGGGGGGGTTGTAAGAGAGGGTGGTCCGAATTAAAAAAAGTGTGGAATGTAGGAAATAAGCTTCTCAGTAGCAAACATTCACATTTTCTACTTTTCAAAAAACAGCACTTATCACTCACTCCCTGCAAAAAAGGTGTCGCAAATGGGGATCGAACTTGCTGGCCACAAGTATGACCGAAGATTCCAAAGACGCTTTCAGATCAAACAATAGGCATGTATGTGTGAAAGGAAGGTTAAGTGTACCAATTGGCCTAGAAATCCTGCTTCCGAAGCATCGTCTCACACTCTCTACAAAAGCGCTCATCTTTGCCAGCGATGACCATCGATAATTTTTAAACCTTTTTTGTTGTCTTTCAAGAGCCCACACAATTTATCTGTACTTTGGAAATGCTCTGCTACAGTTGTGCAAAATCTGATTATATTTCATAACCTGTGGATTTTTCTGAAGTTTTATATATGGTAACAAAAAATGAAGAAAAGGGGGTCGTATCTGGGTCGCATCAAAATTTTTTCGCCGCTATGGAGGCGTGCTCGTTGCAATTTAGCTGTAATACGAGGTCATCCTTCTACTTTCTATCATAAAAATTTTTCGGATGTTTCATAACTTCCCCGGTGAGTTACAGAATTTCAAACTAAAAATCCCAGTTTTTGCTTTTTAGCATCGCATCTAAATTTGCAAGAATCGCATCTAGATTTTTTCGAGCTCACTGCTCCTCAATGGCTAAAACTTTCTTCTTGGATAGTCTGGGCACAATACTACACAGTCTATTCCAGCTTTATTACAGCCTCTCAGTCTTTCCCTGCCTTTAGTTACGATTTTCAAAATACCGTGCTCATGCACGTTTTTGACATCGTTCTGGAAGGCGCTGAAACGATTTTTTTCGCAGGATATGTGCAGTAGATAGAAAGTGAGTTTTTTAGTCGGAAACAATTTTTACGCTTCAAAGATATCGTTTTTTCTTCCTGCGAAAAAAATATTGTCGCGTAGGGGGATAGAACGAGGGACTGTCATTAAAGTAAACGTTCTAATTTCCAGAACTATAGTCTATATCTTTTGGTACCGCTGGGCCATGAAAGGATTATGCCAACAGTAGAAAAAATTATTAATCTTCATTAGAAAAGGAGTTCTTATAAAAAAGTCAATTATGATGACTAAAGTGAACCGTTCCGTAGTGCTGAATTTTTGTTGGTTGTTATTTTATTTTATTTTTTACTAGATGGCTTACCCGGCTCCGCCGGGCCCTGTCAATAATATATTTGTAATCAGCATGCTCGATTACCCCCCTGTGCCAACTCCCAGCCCTGTAGCTCAAATTTTGCAAAAAATCGATAAAATCGATATCGATCGATGACGAAAAGTAGCCTATGACACCCGCCGGGGCCCGAAGTGTATGTGTGCCAAGTTTGGTCCGGATCGGTTCAGAAATGGAATTTTCTATTCGGAACATACGTACACACATACATACAGACAGACAGACATACAGACAAACAGACATTCAGCTTTATATATAAGATAAGTAGAGTACAGCTTAAATACCATTCGAGTCAAAATCGATGTTCTGCTTTGTCAGATGATGTCCTTTCCATTCATATTTTCCCAAACACAATAAGCGTACCCAATCTGCAAAATTCTACTACTTACCCAATCTACGTAAAATTATTTGTTTTTTGAATGATGAAGCATTTGCATTATCTCTCAGTTTGTAAGTAGTTGTCTTTTTGTGATCTATAATTTTGATTTAGATCCATCGGCACGCATTTTTTGGGATTGACATTCGTTTATGCAGGTTTCCGCAAAAGGAAGTGGAGGAGGGAGGAGGGGGGTCGTACGGATGGTACCTTTAGGGGGGGGGGGGTCGTAAATGAGGGTCCCGGATCTCATCAGCACGCTTGACCCTGCTTTAGGGGCTGTTGGAGAGTACGAGATTATCATTCTACATTGTATTGAATCTAAGAATTTCGCATGGGATAAGCTAGATTCACTAAGGTTTGAGTGATTCTCCCAGTTTCAAAATGAAACGATTATTTTGATGGCAGAGGATTAGAAGGCGATCGTCGGTACTCGGCCTTAAAGGCAGTGTCCGGGTAAAAACTCGATTTTGAGATTTTGTGCTTATACGGGCCTATTCACTATGCTGAATCCGGAAACACATTGGAAAGCGCGAAAACCGCGAAAAAGGGCTCTAACATAGGAGGGAAATCAGCAGGTGGGCGGGGCTTTCCCCAGTGCGATTTCACGCTCACAGCTCCTGGAGCGATTTTCTCGATTCCGCTAGCCGTCCTAACATCGCTACCGAGCAAGTGCGAATGATTGACTTGAAACCGGAAGCGAGAAGATCGCTCCGGAAGCCGGGAACGTGAATTCGCAGTGGGGAGGACCCCGCCCACCTGCTCATTTCCCTCCTGTGCTAGAACCGTTTTTCGCCATTTTCGCGCTCTACAATGTGCATTTTTGGATTCAGCGTAGCGAATAGGCCCAAGTAAGCAGAAAATCTCAAAATCGAGTTTTTGCCCGGACACTGCCTTTAATCGAAAATTAAAAAATCCAGGAAAGTCGCGCTACACCTATAAATCCTTTGTGATATTCTGCTTGAATAAACAAATACTTTTGGAACGCCCTCATTGCTTTTACTCTTGATATAAATAAATGCTAATCAGTGGCGTACCGAGGGGGGGAGGCGCCCCCTCCCCCCTCGGTACGCCGAGAATGGGTCGCGAAATTTTTGAAGGTTACTTAAATGTTTATAAAAATGTGCAGAAGACTTGTTTTTACTTGTAAATAATTAAAATAATATTTAAATATTTTTAAAAATTCAAATTAGCCTTTTAAAAATTTTTTTTCGACGCCCCCTTTTTCTGAAATTTTGGGGTCACGGGCCCGGAAAAATTTTGGGAAGCGTTCCAAAAAAATTTTCGGAGGTCGTGGCTTACGCCACGCCCCTTGATCAGAAAAAAAATTTTGTCGCCCCCCCCCCCTCCCCCGAACGGAAATCCTGGGTACGCCACTGTTGCCAATCTATGCGGAATCGCTTCTGATCTTGTCTAAAGGTGTAAAGGTATCATTCAGACAATCATGCCAGGAATAGTGTACATTGCGTTTTAAACTTCGGACCTTGATATTGAATACACTATCTGTTACGATAGTTAACTTAGCGAAACCAAAAACAAATCTAACATTTAACACATAACTCATTTCGTAAGCTATTTAAAAAGCACCAAGCAAACAGACTAAAATTATATTAGGATTTTTTCTTAGAACAAGCTCTTCAAGCCTACAGCTTACTATCAAAACTGCTTCCAGTGCAATGATCAATATGAAATGCAGCCTAAATTGCAGTGCAGAACTCGTGCATGCTAGAGGCAGGATTAGCTGTGCGCACCTTACTAACATGCCTGCCTAAGCGTGCACTATCGTTCATAAATCCCGCTATCCTCTTTTATCTAGCTCACACCTCCATAAAAAATCTATACTTTTCTATATTTTGGCGAAAATACACATAAATAGCACGATTCATGAGCTTCTTGGTGCTTGCGCACAGTCAGAACAGACAGTGTAGCTCACCATTAGAATCCATTTGTAAACGTGATAAACACATCTAGCATATAATCCAAGAGAAGAATACATGCTAAAATGTCATGAACATGCCTCCTATGTGACCTCCATACACTGGCTTATACCTTGGACACATTGATCTTTCTCTACCGTTTAGAAAAACGTTACTGAGCCTTAAGTTCTGATTTGACTTTGACGAGATCACCAGACCTGCATGATAAGAATCCGAGGGCTTTAGTTGTTCTTAAAAGGTAAGAACGGAATTGAACATTGGGTTTTGACGCGTTGATGAGCACTAGGTTTTACGCACCAGGCTTGGTACGTCAGCTCAGGTTGTTGCGTATTCAATCTCCTCCAAAGGTTGGCGATACCATCCAGGGGCATCTCAGACAGTCGATCGGACCCCTCCGGCGGACAGTCGAAATCTGCCAGAGCTGCGGCGGACCCAGTTGACCAATGAGAGCGGGGCGAGGGGGCGGTCCCTTCTTGTGACGTCACAAAGAAGGCAGATCGGACCTATCATCAGAAACAAGGACACAGACTTTCCCTGCATATTATGACTTTGTGCAAAGTTTGAGAATTTGGAATCTCGAAAAAAAAATAAAAATTTCTTGAGCGCCTGTCACAATTTCTAACAGGTAAATGTAAGTAGACGAAATACTGAAAAATGTGAAAGAGTTGCATGAACTTGCATAGCAGATCTGCATTTAGCAAGAATGCGACAGACTAACCGTATAAGATATTCCCTGAGACAGAGCCAAGCAGTGTACGGATAATTTTAGCATCAATCAATCCCGGAAACACGGAAATAATTTAAGAGACACCACATAAGGGTACCGAGGCCGAATCTCATCACAAAAACCACTCCATCAATAGTCAACGATGTCTCAGCAAGTCGAAAAGAGCCAAATACTAAAAGTGACTAAGTGCATCCGCACGAAAACCTAAAACCTGAAACCTGAAAAGAAGGAGATGAACAAATAAACGCCAGCGCGCCGACGAGGAACACGAAAAACCAAAAAAAGAAAAACGAGCGCGAAAGAACGACAAAAAACGAGTAAGACGAGAGCGACGGCAACTTATTTTCGGAAATGCTAAGCTGCGTATCACAGCAAATTGACTGCGTACATATATGTGCGCCGGACCCTTCTCATTTTGTGCGCCGGACCCCTCCCATTTTGTGCGCCGGACCCCTCCCGTTTTGTGCGCCGGACCCCTCCCATTTTCTGTCCCGGACCCCTCCGATTTTCTGCGCCGCGACCCCAGCAAATCTGGCGGACTCGCGGCGGGCAAATCTCTTCGCCGCGACCCCAGCAAATCTGGCGTACTTGCGGCGGAGAGATTTGCAAGCCCGCCGGAGGGGTCCGATCTGCCTTCTTTGTGACGTCACAAAAAGGGACCGCCCCCTCGCCCGCTCTCATTGGTCAACTGGATCCGCCGCGGCTCTGGCAGATTTCGACTGTCCGCCGGAAGGGTCCGATCGACTGTCTGAGCAGGCCAAAATTGGCATGAGGAAATTGGGTGGCGAGGGTTTTGCGTCTTGTACCTAACTTGTGTGCTCTCCCTTAGATCTCTTCGCTCTCTCCGACAGCGTGCATATGCAGCGCAAACCCTTAGCGCTGCGAGCGCACAAATTTACATAAGTGATCCGGCCTGCTCCCGAATCAGGACAGACTGTAAGACCATGGCGGCGTTAATGGCCCCACCAATCTGATGAGGAAACTTTCTTGATCAACAGAATGTTTTTTTTCGCTTCAGAAATACTGACAGATTTGTTTATTCCCAAATATCTATGGCGACCGCTCAATCTTTGTGTAAAGACCGCATGGGTTATTGGATCATGCAAGCATCTCGTTTGTTTGTAGATTGATGAATTGAAAAAATCTGTGGATTTTGTAACGGAGGTCAACAACACAGGGTATAATCTAATTCTATTGTTTACACATTGGGAAACCAAATTAAGGATTGCAAATTTGTGCCTTACTGTTACATACTGATTGATTCCAGAGGAGATATCTTCTATTCGCCTTGTCAAGCGGGATGCCCACTCAGTGGAGCTAATTTCAGCATCTTTAGCAAGGTTGGTTTGTACCTCGAGTAGTAGAACTCAATCCTACAGTTGATTAAAGTTATTACACCCAAATTTCTACATTTCAGATGGATAAGGGAAAATCTCTGGTATTTACAGAGTGTGAGTGCGCCGGTAGCGGCACTTTAGCTGTAAGCAGGGATTACTGTCCTGTCGGTAAAAATTTTGCAGTGCTTTGGCATTTTATCTGATCAGTCTTTCTTGTATGTTACTTATGTTCTTGTATTTATGTTAAAAGGTGGTCAATATTTACAGAAATGGAACAAAACTTACATCAAAAACTGTGCAGTCAGTTTTTGTCCGAGAAGGCATACATGTTGGCTTTGCCTTTCGAAAAAACGCGAATTAAGCATGTCGTCGAGTGTACAGATTCAACCCCTCACAAGCTCGGCTTCATAAACAAGTCGATCCACGTTCGACATTAGCTAGAACTGCTCTGATTCAAACAACTCTGGCAGTTTACCTTCAGCTTCCAATTAATCAACATGATCACGTCAGTGGCGTACCCAGGATTTCGGCTCGGGGGGGGGGGGGGGTGGGCGCGACAAAAAAAATTTTTAATGAAGGTGCGCGGCGCTAGCCACGCACCCAGAAAAATTTTTTGGTACACTTCAAAAAATTTTCGCGGGCCACGCCCCCGAAAAAAAAATTTTTATAAGGCCAAAATGAATTTTCAAAAATTTAAAAATTATTTCAATTATTCACAAGTGTAGACAAGTCATTTGCACAATTTTATAACTCATGTAAGTAACTTTCAAAATTTCGCGACCCGTTCTCGGCCCCTCGGTACCCCACTGGCTCACATTCCTTTTCTCTCTTTTTCCCCACTCCTTTGTACCACTCTCAGCTCAAACTTCGCAAGCAGTTCCTAAAATAAATAAAAGCAATCGATAATTTATTATTGTACTTGTAACTAAGCATGCTCACCTATCTTCCTTGCGTTATGTAAACGAGAATGTCCATCGGATTCTTGCGTATACGCTGCCTCTGGCAACACTCGTAAATAGTTCATTACTGTGATCTAAGGAAATCTTCTTATCCTCAAAATTTCCATAAAATATTCTTCATTATCGGATTTCTCTTTTTCTCCTTTTTGTGCTTGATTCGTAGTATCAAGCAATTATGAAAATTCGAATGGCAACGTTGCTCTTCTTCTTCTCCTTTGTCTTCGCCGTTGCCCCCTAGGGGGCAGGGCGGCAGTGTTGCATCGTGATTACCTGACTGACTCGATCGGCTGCCTCAAGTGGTGTGAGGATTGCCACGTACAGGTCGTTTCGAATCGTGTACGACCAACGTTACCTGCCGGCCGTGAGGTGTTCTTCCGTATGGATTACCCAGCGCCGTTTTTGCTACTAATTGTCATGTCTCGTGAAGCGTAACCATTCTCCGCATTTTATCCGTCATAAGTGCAAGTCCAAAAATGCGCCGTACATCGGTGTCCGTGGTACAGATTTTTCGCGTATGCCCAGTATTCACTGGATGATAGAGTGCAGAAGGCACTTTTTTCCTACCGTAGCCAAAATTAGGCGTATAACTAATGTTGACTGCAGAAACATGCAGCTTCACGCTATTGATGTATGCGGTAGTATTTGAGGCATGTAATCGCTCCAAAATCTTGTAATGAAGTGATAAAATAATAAAATGACTGGCCAGGAGCTTCAAATAAACATTGCACGACATTGTTTCCGCATCACTCGTCATGGGGCGAGATGATTTGAAAAGACCATGTATTGTAAGTGAGCAGATCGACACTTCCATATTGTACAGCAATTTTATGTGCAATGCACAATGTGCTTCAAGACCAGTTGAACTGTTTGTGTCAGTAATCGCAGATTTCATTTTTTGAATCTTTATTGCATGCTTTTCTTTCCTGAACAGGCTCAAAAGATGTTGAGCCCACGTTCCATCTCTTTCAAATTGAAATTTGTTTCTTATTCGCAACGCTGCCCTCTATGATCTCATGCGATCTTCTTACGACATGATGATACTCTTCTTTACTCTTCATCGAAGTTTTTATTCACTCTTAATCTTCTAGCCAGCAGAGAAATAGTCAGGTATGATCGGCTTCACTTGTGTGGAGGCGGTTGCAGAATTTCGCTGATTGAAAGGATGAACTTGAGAGAGTATGAAAACAATGCTGCAACGAGCAGGTTTAAGAAGTTCAACTTTATTCAGGCGAAAGTCCGCAACCCGCCTCCACATGAAGCTAGGAGCCAATGATATGATTTGAGACCCGAAAACGACGAGAGTGGCACTAAGTACAGCGCAAATCGTAGCACTTCCGCTTAGATGTTCCTTGCTAGGTTTGGTGCAAAGTGGTACATCTGAAAAGTCGAGTCAAAGTCCTCTATTGTGGAATAAGAAAAAAGAAACTGGAATTATCACTCGACTTGAAAGGATTTGTATGAGTAGTTCTGTGCGCTGTTCTTATAAGCTATGATGAGTGCACATAATTGGTAAACTTGAACTTCTTGTACTTGGCTTGTCAAATCTTTGATTTTGTGTGTAGATATCGTTCTTCGTGATATGGTCCGGATTTGTGTAAAATCTATTTCATCTCTTTGTTTCTGAGCTACGGGTTTTAAATAACTCAGACGATGTCGAAGTGTCGACGGAAAGAGAGCCAAGCTCACTCATATTTCTTGTTAGGAGCATATTTGAAAATAAAGACAAGGACGTGCCTATAACTAAAAAAAATGACACATAGAAGTGGAGAATGAAATCGGGCTAAGCATCATTCCTATAAAAGGGCCAGAAATCTATTGATGGCACGTCCTCGCAGCAGCCAGTTCCAGAAAATTTCCGTGGGCGCTAGCTTTCCCTTTCTACAGCTTCATGGAGCCTTCTGATCTCGATATGTACTTAGTATTCACAAGTCAGAAAAATGTCTGCGTTGGCAGTCATCAAAGCAGCTAACTTTTTCCCTCTGAAAGACGGGCAAGATAAAGTGGGACAACATTAATACGCGGAATACCACTGAATTAGCCGAAAAAGTCCCCCTACTCTGACTAAATAATGAAGCAATGCATCGCCCGTACCGCAGCGCACATTTATTGGCGTAAATTCGCATGTTTCTGCAGTCAACATCAGCTTTACGATTAATTTTGGCTACGGTAGGAGAAAAGTGCCTTCTGCACTCTATAATCCAGTCCAGTATTCATCTTATCATTATCATTGATGTTCCCATCGAGCTCAGGGTCTGCTCGTGTTTCTTGAATGCTGGTCAATATTCTGCTCCGTATAGGATGACTGACCGCACCACGCTCCGATATATTTTCCACGTGAGGTATACTGGATCGGTGGTCGCGGAGTAATCCTGTTACTTGATGCCATTTCAGCCACGCCGCGTTCGTCTTACCACGGGCATCAGTGATCGTTTCCAATTCAACATCACCAATGTGGTGACCTTCTTAAGTAACTGCCCATCGATGCTGATTGTTCCGTCGCTTTGCTGCCCGCATTCCAGGTACTCGGTCCTTCCTACGGTCAGTCGCAGGTCATCCGACTTGTCGCACTTTCCATCTACGTGCCTCTTCGGACTCCTCCTCCCGCTTACTAACTCAACGTCATACGCTAGAGGAGCGTGTACGGGTGCGGCAGCTGAATTCCTCCCGTCACCGTAACCGTGCACGGTATGAGAAAAAGCGGTGGTACGATCCTTAGGTACCTCAACTTGGACTGGGATTGGTGTTGACGTTTCTACCGTAAAGCATGTCGTGTTTGCTTGAAGCAGCCTAGTCCAGCGGACATACTCTTCTGGGACGTCGTGCCGTCTCAGTGCATACCAAACCATCCCGTGTTGTATCCCATCGTGCATTTACTAAATCCAAGAATGCGAAGTGATTTGGAATCTGCTTCTCTCTTCTCTTTGATCAGCAGTGTGCGGTATGGATGATATTGATGGTATCAGATCGTTTTACGACCGCATTGATTCGGGGTGACTTCCACGCTTTGGATGCGTGTGTCGATGGCTCGCTCGAACTTCACCGTGTGATAACAAACTCGGTCGATATTTTGAAGAATAGCTGACGTCGTCCTTGTTCTTCCAAACAAGGACTGTCACACTTGTAGACCAGATTCGCGGTGCCCATCGGTGATGATCCGGTCCCTAGAGCGGATCGCGAAATTTTGGAAAGTTACTTAGATGAGTTATAAAAATGTGCAAGCGACTTGTTTACACTTGTGAACAATTAATATGATTTCCAAAAATTTTTGGATTTTATTTAGCTTATAAAAAAATTTTTTGGGCGCGTGGCTGCGGCCACACCCTCTTCTTCTAAAATTTTGGGGTCATGGGCCAGCAGAAATTTCAAGAAAACATATCAAAAAAACTTTTGGAGTGCGTGGCTGACGCCAAGCACCTTTATCAGAAGAAATTTTTGTCGCGCCTCCCCCCCCCCCCCCGAACGGAAATTCTGGATACGCCACTGTTCAACAGGTATGTCGCCAGGTCCTGAGGCTTTCCCCCTGAACATCTTCGTGTGCCTGCAAACATCTGCCTTTTCCGTCAGAGATACCTGTTCAAATGTAGGCGTTCCTTACGACACTTGTGGATGCGGAAAATCTTTATTGCATAGACCTTCGTTGTATTAGCTTCATCGCTTGAGTGTTGCCCTCGGCTTTGGCAGAAGATTGCCCTCTGCCTCTTGGATGTGCCTGACGTGGAAGATGTCTTGCTTCGCTCGGATGTCGGGCAGCGGTCAACTGGTAGACCTTGCTAGCGCCAGCAGGTTATACTTGGAAAAATTCGAAATTTTTTCGAATACAATATCCGACTAATTTTTGCAAATTGACTTTGTATATTCGACCATCGCATAGTATTCGAAAATCGAAAATTCGTTCGAAACTGAACAAAACATCTGACGATAAGTCGTTTCATGTAGCTACAAAAAATAGCATTTTTATGTCACAATTCGTAATGAGAAAGCGGCAATGGTGACATCAAAAGACTTGAGAATCTATACAGACGCTAATTAATCGTTAATATCCTCCCATAAAATCTTCTACCGGACTTTAGGTACCATTTTGTAGGGTCGACTTCAATTTAGAATACAGTATGGAGCACTCATCTATCGTTCTTCGCTGTTGTAAAATTACCGTAGGAGAAACTGAGAGCCGTATCTTGCCTAAGTAAGGAAACCCTAAAAGCCGAAAGT